TGAAGCAGAAAGTTCTGGTGAGAAAAGAATGGGCAGTGTGAGCTACTGGGTAAATGAGCACAAGCTCAAATAGAACTCTCAGACAGGGAGTCTCAGGACTTCTTAGAATTGGTAAGAAAAGGAATTTTGTGAACAGAACATTTATGTTATGACCAAAATAACATTAATTTGTTTGAAGTCAGAGAGTCATGTTCTAAGGTTAGAGGGAGGTCAAGGGATGACAGATCAGTCATTCGTTATAAACTCACTGAAGGTCTTGGTGATTTCCAGCTAAGATGATACAATCATCTGTTGTTAATCTGGCCTGGGGATGGACTGTTACTGAGCTTCACAGAATATTGAAGAGATATTCATTACAAAGCTTCCAGTCTCTTATTTTTGACCTCTGGGGTAAAATATTGGGAACAGTTTGATAGGAAAATTAATGAAAGTGACATCTAGATGTAGTCATCAGTAAAATTTTTTATGGTGATATGAAATTCTAAGTGGAAAATCATCTTGTTTTAGTTATTGGAAAACTCTATGCTATGTTGGTAAGAATGAAATGGACATATAAAGATATTTGAGCCACCTCCTTTGAACACTACATTTCACTTTCACAGCGATAGTTGTAGAAGATACTAAGCGAATACATTAAGTAGGGTACATTAAGTCCGCATATATTCCTAAAACAGAATTTGTAAACTGGTGTTTAAAAGTGTACTAATTTAGTTATTACAAAAAGTATTGAACGTAGAAAAAAACTGAAAAGAAGTTGTTAATACTGACCTACAGTTCCACAGTTATTGCTTAATTATTTATAGTTTTGAATTTTTCCTTATTTCTTTCTGTAGCTTTAATTTTTTTTTCCAACAGACTCATATTTGGATGTGTGAGTCTGGGTGTAGACATACCTATATAATTATTTCAATTAAAATAATGGTGTGTTCTTTCTTGTATTCCCATGGCTTCCTGGTAGATGTGGTTTTATTTTGCAGCATAGTATTTCATCCTGTGGAATCCCTTTTTTTGGGGGAGAGGGGAATACTGGGGATTGAACTCAGGACCTTGAGCTTGCCTGGCAGGTGCATATTCTACTGAGCTATCTCCCTGGCCCCTGGAATCCTTTTTTTAACCAATTCCCAACATAAACTTTGTCATGCTCATGGGTTTTTTAGTAATAGTTCAACTTTCATAAAACTGCTTCTTATGCTTATAACAAGTTTTTCTAAAAAAGATCCAAGTATTTCTATCCTGATTTTGATGGAGAAAAGTGCAACTGGAAGATTTTTGAGATAAGACTGTTAGGGTTTTTGTACACCATACAGTTATAAATTCCACCAAATATAAGAATCAAAATTAAAGACATGATTCCATTTTTTAAAAAACTTAGGAAAACTTTAACGTAGATTTGTAATATCTGAATTTCAATAATTTTTTTTAAAAACATCAATCTTCATATTACTAACAAATTTAGTGAAAGGTAATATAATTTTAGAATTATAACTATGCTTCTCATAGCTATCTAGAGCATGCAACAATAAAATACATAAATCATTTTAATTAGTGAAAGGATACATAATAATTGTCTTATTAAAATTCTTCATGTGGTGTCTTAATCTATCCTCGATGTTGTAACAAAAACACCTTAGACTCGGTAATTTATAAACAACAATTCATTGCTTATCATCGTGGGGGCTGGGAAGTCCAAGATGTAGGTCCCAGCAGATTTGGTGTCTAGTAGTGGTCTAAGCCTTTCTTCAAAGATGTCACCTGTGGCTGTGTCCTTCCATGGTGGAATGACAAAGGAGGATACAAAACCTCTCTTAGGCCTGTTTTAGCAAGGGGACTAAACCAGCCGCGAGGGCAGAGGCTTTTTGGCCTAACCACCTTCCGAAGTCCCTGCCTGTTCATACCACTACCATTAGGATTAGGTTTCAGCATGAATTTGGGAGAGGCACAAAGGCTGAGATCTCAGTGTGTGGTTCTTGGATCTTCTTTTGCCTTGAATTTTTATACAATTCAACATGGTTGAAAACTAAATTTTCTCCTTGGGAATTTAAATTGAATTTCACTAGATTATTATCTTCTAGTTAACTCTCATATGCTACTGTTGGGATTAGAAATGTAATCTGTCTCAAGCACAGTTTAACAAGAAGTGTCAGAAATCTTTAAATAAATTTTTATCCATTACCTCAGTTTGAAATCAATGGACTATTCCTACCAAAATAATTGGTCAAATGTATAAAGATTGAGACACAAGAATGTAGCCTTGTTTATAAAAGTGAAATACTGGAAACAACCTTAATGTTCAACATTTATGAATTAGTTAAGTAAAGTATGACACATGCATATAATAAAATATTATGAAGCTATTTAAAATTGTATCATCTTTATTTTTAATTTGGGAAAATTATTGCAGTATAATGTGTGTGTGTTACGTGAAATTATTGGATATTTACAGTTAAACACTGATGAATGTCTCCCAAAGAGGGTAATTTTTATTTTGTCCTTACTCAAATCAAGTCCTTCCTTACAATTGTAAAATACTGGAATCATTTGTCTCTTGGGACCACTTCTAGTTTATTTTAAGCAAGTTAAATAGTATTTTGCCTCCCATTTGTATGACAGAGAAGCAAATATCTAATTTGTTTAAAAGTATTATTGTCTCATTAAAATATAAATTAGAAGGTAGACTGTCTCAGATACATTTCTGTTGTTTTTTACTACTTAAAATTGTGTCTGGTCTGTTTATCCTGATTATAGACATGCTATTGTGTCTCAGATACATTTCTGTTATTTTTTACTACTTAAAATTGTTGTCTGGTCTGTTTATCTTGATTATAGACATGCTATTGGACTCCTGGCATTTGCAGGAACTTTAAAAGCTGGGGAGGTTTACTTTTCTTTTGCTGTTCAAACACCTTATTTCCAGTGGCTAACTCTGCCTTTCTTCCTTGTGAAGGAGCTCAAGGTCATTTTAGCCAGAAAGCTGAATCCTAATCTTCAGCCTTAGTCTCCATTGATGGGATCTTTTATGGCTTCATGGACTGTCTGGTTTCCTCTAGCAGGTGTAGCAGATGGATATCCTCAGAGCCCCTGCTTAGCCCTGCGTTAGCTAGAATCTCTCATCTTTAGGGGCCAAGAGGTCTTGTACCAAGAGGAGTAATGCCTTCTCCGTCTGCCTGGTACTCTGGTTTGGAGTCTCCATGACATATATGTCCAAGGGACTTGTCTTCATATGGGGTTAGCTATTTGCTCAAACTCTAGCTCTTAGTGTTGTCCATAGACACCGCATCTTCCACTTCCTGCAGTTGAGACCCCCCAGAGAAAGAAATTTACTTGGAGCGATTGACTTGGAAAATCTAATAAATGGACCCTGGTACAGTTTAGATTAAGACACTATGAGGAAGAAGTCAACACAAGGAAGAGGAAGGGGTTTTAAAACCAAAGTCTGTATGTCTCTCTCTCTCTATACTACATATTTACAAATGAATGTGATCATAGCTTGAAACCTAAAAGTGATCAAAGGAGGATCAGGAGTGGAATCAAAAGTGGTGGAAAACTGATCTCTTGTAAGAGCCATTCAGCCATGTGAAGAGTAATTCTGTGCAAGAATGTGCCTGACATGTCCCATCTGCCCTTGTATTGAACATGTCCCATAAATGAAACATACAGGAAGCCGATAAGACAAAAATATTCATTAATGCCCTGTGCTGTTTATAATTGTTACCAGAGCAGAGTGGATCTGAGGGGGCTCAGCACATTTGGCATATCGGGACTCTATGAACACACGTTTATTCATTCATCCAGACAGCCAGTCATTCAGAAATAACCTCATAGAAGACAGGCAGGACAAGCAGATCCTGGAGTTATTCATAAATCTCATGCACCCTGTTTTACTGAACTTGTAGCCTGCCCTGAGAAACCAACCACGTGCAAGCTAAATGCTGTGGTAGGACGTCACGAATCAGCGTGATAGAACAAGGGAATTTCTTCTGCAAGCTGGAAGGATTAATACCAGTCAGACTGAGGAAGGTGCCAGAAGTGTTAATGGGTATCTCAGTGCTGATTTCACAAAAAGTGATACGTGTTTCTTTTTTAAATTTCTTTCTAGGATGTTCAGCTCTTCTCCACGATGAATGAGTGTCACTATGATAAACGGATGGACTTTTTTTATAACAGGAGCAACCCCGAAACTACTGATGAGTGGATGGGAACAAAGCTTATAATTGTTTTGTGTGTTGGAACATTTTTCTGCCTGTTCATTTTTTTTTCTAATTCTCTGGTCATTGCCGCAGTGATCAAAAACAGGAAGTTTCATTTTCCCTTCTATTACCTATTGGCAAATTTAGCTGCTGCAGATTTCTTTGCTGGAATTGCCTATGTATTCTTGATGTTTAACACTGGCCCAGTTTCAAAAACTTTGACTGTCAACCGCTGGTTTCTTCGCCAGGGGCTTCTGGACACTAGCTTGACTGCCTCTCTGACCAATTTGCTGGTTATTGCGGTGGAGAGGCACATGTCGATCATGAGGATGCGGATCCACAGCAACTTGACCAAAAAGAGGGTGATCCTGCTCATCCTGCTGGTGTGGGCCATTGCCATCTTCATGGGGGCAGTCCCCACATTGGGCTGGAATTGCCTCTGCAACCTCTCTACCTGTTCTTCCCTGGCCCCCATTTATAGCAGGAGTTACCTCATTTTTTGGACTGTGTCCAACCTCATGGCCTTCTTCATCATGGTGGTGGTATACCTGCGGATCTACATGTATGTCAAGAGGAAAACCAATGTCTTGTCTTCACATACCAGTGGGTCCATCAGCCGCCGGAGGGCTCCCATGAAGCTAATGAAGACAGTAATGACTGTCTTAGGTAAGAGGAGCCTAGTGAGACGACATGGCTGGTGTGGTAAACTTTTCCTTAAGTTTTGTTTTCTGTGGTAGGTGGCCTATTGGGCCTCAGTTCTAGTCCTGGGTTACAGGTAGAATTTGTGACATAAGGATGAACAAGAACTTTTGTTTTCATAGTCCTTGTTCTCTAAAGAGAGCCTGTTTTTCTCTTTGTATGGTGGCCGCCACTGTGGGGACATTACTGAGGTCAGAAGTATATTCCTGTCAGGTCTCAAAGTGCAGGGACAATAAAATAAGTTCTGGGCAGTTTATTGAAATTGGAGGGTGCAGACTGTGTTTCTGGTGGAAGGAAAATATGATCCCTAGGTACTGACACTGCTGGCAAGATTTTGAGATCAATAAAGAAACAACGCAATTGTGGAAATAATTTTAAATTGAGGGTTTCCTTAAAAAATATAGCGTGTGGTTTATGCTGGCCCTTTTCTGTGCATATTACTTGGTCTAATCCTCGTGGCAATGCTGTTGGGCATGTGCCACTGCTGTCCCCATTGACAAGATGAAGCAATTGAATCGCAAGTGTAAGTCATTTTGCTGGTAGCCTGGAGCCAGGACATGTGTACAACTGGTACCCGAGTAGATGTGTTGAACACCACTCTCTGCAGCTGGTTTTGATTTATTTGGCCTTTTGCTGGTGTCCTTTTTGTCCAGTTTTTGCTCTGACAGCCTCATTCTCTTTCTTGTGCCATGACAAGAATTCTCACGTTCATCAATATCGCCCCTCTCGAGCAAGAAAGAGCAAAGTTTGATATTTTTGATAAAGAGCCAAGTTTGGTAGTTATAGTGTCAATGAACTCTGCCCTACCCCCTGTCTAACCTGTAGGCTTGCTGAGTTGGTTGTGTGTCCTGACGAATCATCTGCCTTCTTAAAAAACAATTTTCAGTGTATCATACTGTGATCAATAGTATACAGCCGGAGCTAGAAAAGCTTTCTTTATGTGTATAACTTTATCTGGAACAGTATGAGGGATTTAAAATAAGGGGGCTTTGTGGTTTTGACAGGTGTGGTGTTGGGTGACAGAAAAACCGGAATAAACAATGATCACCAAGTAGGATAAGAGAAGTCGCGGCATCAAGATGAAGCAGCCCTGGGGAATTGGTTAATGGCAGGATGACAGTTTGGTTTTGAGGTACCTGGGGAAGTTCCTCAGTGGTGAGACAGAAGGATCTGGTGGAAGACGGGAGGTCTGCAGACAGGGGAAGTGAAACTGAACAGCGGGGCAGTGTAAAGTTTTTCTGATATCTTCCACTAACAAAGATGTAGAGTTTAGTCCAAACTTTTATTTTCTGCAAGGTGATCTACAGCAAACCAGTTCAACTCTCCTTGGTTAAATTTCATCTGAGAGGCAATAAGAGTCTTCAGTTTTTTCCAATAAAGTTGAAAAGTTACTTGAATTTATTGAATTTAATCTCAGTCCAAAGACAGGGCAGAGGATGGATAGTGGAGAGAGTAGACATAGAGTGTTCAGAGGCTTCTTAGAGGGTTTGAGAGGTCTTGAAGAGTTGGTGAAATTTTTATGGTAGGAGGAAAAGATATTCTAAGCATAACATACTGCAGTAAAAAATGTGATAGTGAAAATGTCTGGAGCTCATGTAAAGCCACAACGAAGGACCCAGGAACACTGATGTTTGATGTGTCACCATGAAAATAGTGAATTTGTGAGCCAGGGAGGTTTAGTCAGCTCTCGTTGGAAGGGAAGAGTAGACCAGATGACCTTTGCCATTAGGATTTTGGCTGAACACACAGCACACAGAGCAGCATAGTGAGCAGCCTCTTTGCTGGAGGGTGGCGGTGGTGGTGAGGGTGGAGATTGTCAGCGCATGATTGGAAAGGCATGGAGGCACCCTGTGCCCATTCCAGCAGCCCTGGGGCAGAATGCTTGCTTGCTTCTGGGTTATGATGTGTGAGGGGGAGCCTTTATGCGAGAGATCTTGCTTATTGGTTCTCACGGGGATATAGAATCCTGCTTCCCGAAGGGCTCCAAAGCCCTGCTTAGGAGAGTTTCAGAATCTCACTTATCAAACAGCTAATCGGCTACGGTAACAAAACACATAAGATACCCCATGTTTACTGTTGAGCAGCACCAAGCAAACTGAACACACAGGGATAAGAAAATGGGCTGAACTTTCATCTATTTTGTAATGTCTTGAAATACAAATAAGAAAAAAAAAAGTGAAGGGATTTATGGCTCTTACATTTGAAGTCTTTCATAACCTTCCTGTTTCCTAGGGTGATGTTTTCCAGCTGTGGGCTCTGACCCCCTGGAGTAGTCCTTGTTCAGATATAGGTTATGCCTTCCAAGACCCCCAGTGGATGCCTGAAACTGGGGATTCACAAAGCCCTATATACACTCCGTCTTTTCCTGTATGTGCATACTAGTGATAGTTTAATTTATAAATTAGGCAGAATAAGAGATAACAATAGCTTATTATGAATCTCAGCTACTTCAGCCTACACTTTTTGTTTTTCCTTAAGTTGCAAATGTTCATCTTTTGACCTACAAGAAGCACTCTGGCTTCTTTTTGGCATGACCAGCATCGCTATTTTTGTACTCTGAGGCCATTATTGAGTAAAATAAGAGTGACCTGAACATAAGTGCTGTGGTGCAATGGCAGTTAATTTCATCACCAAGATGGCCAGAAAGTGACTAACGGAAGGGTAGCATATAACATGAGTACACTGGACAAAGGGATTATTCACACACTAGGTGGGGTGAGGGGAGCAAAGCAAGATTTCATCATGCTCCTCAAAGTGGCACCCAATATAGAACCCATGAATTGTTCACTGTTTGAATTTTTCTGTTAATACTTTCAGACTGGCCAGGGAGATGGCGCAGTGGAGTAAGTGCTTCCCTGGCAGGCACAAGAGCCTGAGTTCAATCCCTGGTTCCGCAAAAAAAAAAAAAAAAAAAAAAAAAACTTTCAGACTGCAGTTTACTATGGACAGCTGAAATTGTGGAAGGCAAAACTGTGGCTAAGGGCAGAGTATCATACTAGGATTTTAACCAACATATTTTTAGCATGACATCAAATGATAAGAAATGTTAGTGTATGCTGTATTTAGTAGATATTGCTTCATAACTTTTCTGTTCATGTATGTGTATGTGTCCTGGGTCATGAAACAAAATATGTTTCTTGTCTTGGGTTATGTTCAAGAACATTAAAAAAGCCATGGTTCTAGCAAGTTTTATGTTTTGGTCAGTAAGGACTAAACTCTTCTAAAATATGAAACATTGTGGTTGTTAGAAAAATTTTTAAAGGTTGTGGTAATGGAAACAAAGAGCTGTGTGTTTTCTTCTCACTTTTTCTGCCCTCAGCTTTGCTTGAAAGGATGCTAAATCCTCCTTTTCCTTTATGCTGGGAAGAGAAGAAGGAGGCCAAGTGGCAGTAAGGGAAGTAACAGTACCTGGTTCTCATGCCAGGAGAAAATAGCTGAAAACTGACTATCACAGAGGGCCTTGGGTAGATCTGCTACTAATCGTGCATGATAGCTGGGTATGTTGGGCACACCTGTAATCCCAGCACTGGGGAGCCTGAAGCAAGGGAATCCTCATGAGTTCAAGGTCAGCCTGGGCTACATACAAAGTTCAAGACCAGCCTAAACTACATAGTAAGACCATGTCTCAAAAAAAAAAAAAAAATCAGACATGATATTTCTGCAATACTTACGCCCTTTTCTGTGTTTTAATATACTGCTTTTATTTGGTCTTATGGAAATCCCACAAAGTAAGTAAGGAAAGTTGTGTTGTCACCTCCTTAGATGCATGCTCTACTTAAACTATAGCGAATTATCCACAGCTCCACACCATGGCAACTGCTGAAATACCTTTCCCCTTCTCCTTTTTGAGAAATTCCTATTTGTCTTACAAAACGCAACTCAATAGTGAAAGTGTCTTTCACTCTCTGTGTCTTTCTTTGCCTTGCACAAATCTGATTACTTCTTCCTCTGAAGCACCTCTCAATCTTGGTCATACCTCAAACAAAACACTGCGTTGTTGCCATGCCTTGATTTTGAGCTGGAGCAGCTATACTTTGAAGTGAAGGCCTGTCCCTTCTTAAATCTAGCCCTAATGTCTAACATGTTGCCCCCATCTAATCTTAAGATTTAGGGATGTAAGACACTTTTTAAAAGCTGCAACACAAAGTAAAAGCTAGGTTCTTTATTTCCAGCTTGGTCTCTGGCAGGTTCTGGCCAGGAAGATGGACAGAGGCAGAAAATGGATGGATATCCTATTTTATAGGACTGATTTCCCAGAAGGGTGAAGACCGGTACCATCTTGGGAAGGAGGACAGGAAGGACTAGTATTTGGGTGCTTCCTAAGACAAAGTCAGAGTGCTCCTTGCTTCTTCAATTTTGTTTCACTGAGCCTTCATAATAACTCTATGCAGATGTGTTTCACAAAGAAGGAAACTGGGGTGCACTGACGACTCTTGCCTGTAGATTCACACTGGTAAAAATGTTAACAGTTAATATTTGGTGTGTGTTATTCCTGGACCTGAGTGAGACATGTTTTCATATGTTATTCATGTCACTCTATGAGGAAGGTTCAGACAAAGACACTGAGGCCCAGAGAAGTTTGGTTTCTTTCCTAAGAGTAGGAGCAGAGCTGAGTTTTGTACCCCAGCATTTTGGCTATAGGACCCCACCATCCAAGTCACTGGTCTCTTGCAAGTGATGGGGTTAGAATGACATGAACCCAAGTCAGAGGCTTGTAGCCGGTATGTCCCTTGATTTCTAGTTCAAGTTATTTCTATAGTGTCACATACTCTTTTGACATTCAGCTCACTCTCGATTTGCTCTAAGGATTTTTGCAGTAGGTAGTAATGGTTATGGCAACATCTATGCCTGTGGCAGCTATGGTGACAGTAGGGGCTCATCTGGGGGAGACCTAGATCTAAATCCTAGCTTTGTCACAAGTTGTGAAGCCCTGAGCACTTTACCTAACCTCCTGTGACTTAGTCTTC